GCAATATAATTGGTTAGGAGAAAGAGAAGTATTATTTAAGAGAAAAAATAATATAGAGCATGTACTCTAATTGGTTAGAAGATATATGAATATTAATTAGGAAAGAGAAGTAGTGTAAGGGTAACTTTAGAAGATAAAAACAATATATATAAGACAAATTTTTGTACAAAAAAAGGACAAATTTATTATTATCAACTAAATTAACCATTTTTCTTCATCTTGGTAAATTAGGTAATTTGTATAACAACCAATAACGACCAATCATAATTATACACTTTGTGAAATCACTACTAGCCAGGGAAACTAGCCTATTATAATTATAAAAGTTAAACTAACAGATATATGGCATACATATATGTTGAGATTTCTGTTGAAATTAACTTTTTTTTTGTTATAAATCATTTTAATTCTAACAACGGACTCAATCACGACAAGTAAATCGATCGTACAAGTAGTAAATTTAAATTGTATTCACAGGGACTAGTTAGGTAAAATAAGCATTTAACGACTATTTGTGACTAAAGAATAATTCCAATTTTTTCTTATAGGTTGTCATGCAATTAAAACGAAGGTAGATTCATTGGAATTTTAAATCTATAAAACTATTTGTGTGTGTGGAAGGGATAGAAAATGATATTGTGAATTTGTGAGATTGTGGGGTCAAATATCAACAAACTTCACTTTGATAAATCATTGTTCTTTTATTGTATTCATTGCCTAATCAACTCATAAGTCTACTCAAACCTAATCCCTTAGAGTAAGAGCCTAGGTGTATATATTGAATATCAATTCCTTGAGTATCCAATATATATAACTGCATTACAAGTTAGGGTCTAAGACTACTAATGGACCAAGCTCCATTCCTAGATATATTTCTCACTAGCTATTTTGTTTCAGAGCTAGTTTCAAAGGCTATTTTCCAATACCCAATGGACTCTATATCAAGCAAAGGAGAATCAATCCAAAGCAAGCATTAATAATAGAAACATAACACAACAATGAATGAAACAAACATATATCATTGATAAGGTGAAGATTACACAAGAGTTAAGTTGGTTACATTTAACCCCACAAAATATTGGGTAGAACCGCTCAAAATAATGAGTGTAAAACAAAAATAGAGATGGAAGAGAAGATGGAAGTATCGAAGGAAAGACCCACACACAGCACGGTCCTAAGCACCGAGAATCCCTTCCACAGCTCCTAGAAGTCGCTCTATGTGTGAATCAGGAAGGAAGCCTCGAAGATTTGATCAAATACGAGTTGGGTGAGTCAGGATAGGGTTTACATGCCTAGCGCGTCATACTTTGCACCTGGCGCAGGGTCCTCTAGAGAGGTAATTACTCTCTATCTCGAGGCACGCCCAGGGCGAATACTCTTGCCCCCGGTGCAATGTCTTCCAGGGAGTTTAAATGCTCTCTGTCTCAAGGCACGCCCGGTGCGGAGACTCTTGCACTTGGCGCAGTTTTGAGTTACAGAGTGTGTTGCTCTCTGTCTTGAGCAAGCCTGACGCGGGTACTCTTAAGCCTAGCGTGATATTACTTCTCCTGCTCCTTAGCTCTTTTAATTTCCAATCCATTGGGTTTTCAACCTCAACTCTTCAACTCAATACCTGCACAAAAAATGAGGTGTATCAGGGTATTGTCAGATGATTTTTGGGTTAGCTATATCTTCACAAAATTGAATCAAAAGAAAACAATTATATTGCAAGAGTGCATGGGGTGAGTGGAATTGTTCAATAATTCCTATCTAAAAATAAGTATAAATGAGACTTAACCATATACTACGAATATAAAAGTGAAAACATCGTACTAATACAACTTATACATATACATATATATATATATATATATATATATATATACACACACACACACACACAATAATCTCAAAGGTAAATTATATAACCTAGTGTCAGTCAAGCCCACATATACAAATTACATAAAGTAGCATCAACACTAACAAAAAGGGCCCCTCCACTTATCAGTAATCACTCCTCCAACGTAATCCTAATTTGCTTTCATACGATGTATGATCATCGTAGTCAAAATCACATGAAAATAAAATGGTAAGCTAAAGTTCAAAAATATTTAAGCATACAAAACAATTTTATATCATACAACATTATACCAAAAACATATGAAAGTTAAACACTCCAAAGCTAACATATATCTCATCCAAACCATGCTAAACAAGACATCCAACAATGCATATGAACACACTATAACATACATCATATGCATACACACCTAAAATGATGTATTATCATGCATTCACCTACGGGGATCTCCTAATACCTTAGAGTAGTCTAAGTGGTTTGACCTTACCGAATGAATTGAATCATCTCTATACTAGATAGACCCATCAACCGAATCGAATTTCCAATCCCAACAACATGATTTCTTGGATTTCACCACTTACACTAAGAAAGTCTATTTCCATCGTTAGGAATAGTATAGTTTAATATAGGTATACCACAACCTTGACATACATTACCAAGTCACATATGGAATTAGTTTACTAACTATCTGCAAGGAACCACACAACCTTTCTAGTAATTAGTTAAGGGTTGTATCCCTTGACTTCATACTTTAATTCACATTGACTAAGGACCTAAAGGAGATTTAACAAAATCCACTCCAAGAGTTTCACACCTACTCAAGGAGGATTTTCAACAATCGGCCTCCTAGAGTGCCAAATTAAGATTCCCTATATGGGATCTTCAATTTTCTAACAATATTTCCTCTATTCTTAAGTCAATTAACATGTTTTAATGTTTACAACATTCTTAACATACATCATCTATATACATTACCTTAGGTCAATGCATATAGAGATCAAGTTACACCATCATATATAGCATACCAATACCTATTCAACATCCTACATCACACAACATGCAATAGACTTAAGTATTTTATTCATGTTTTTTATACAACATTTTATCATTAATAATTAAATGATCATCATACATTATCTCAGATCAATGTACAATCAACATACAAGGTATTAAATTAACCTACATTCTTACTTCATACAGTCTAACTCCTATAACAAGGAAGGAACTCGACGCTTCAAATGTCCAAGATTCTCGTTCTAAATGACACAATTTCTCTCTAAGTGGCAAGAAATTCCCTTGGAGCGAGCCTAAACAAAGAGCACCCTTTAAGTTTCACTTTAGTCACTTTAAGCGATATCACCCTTGCTTTGAGCACTCAAATTCTCTCAAAACGTCCCTTAATTCGCATTAAGCAAGCAAAGTTAGGTACTACCCCTGAACTTCCACCTTCACTTGCTCTAAGCGAGTGTGTTGTTGCTTTAAGCCACTGAAACTTGCTCTAAGCCATCACAATTTGCTCTGAGTGAGTCAAGTCAAAGACCATCCCTGACTTGGTCACACCTGCTCACTCCAAGCAACCTCTATGGGCACATTGAGCAAGAAAACCCAAAAACATGCATATTCAAAGCTCAAGAACATTAACCTAACAATACACTTCAAAACCCAAAAATCCACCCAAGCTATACATCAATTCATACATGTAACTCAATCATTCATACATATACATTTTCAACAATTCATTTTGCCCCAAAACCACCACATGCAATTACAAATCTGTCAAGATCATCAAAATCATCTTTGCCACCTCAAGAACAACAAAAACCCCACCAACACAACTTTCAAATTTAAAAATCCTCTAATTCATGCAACAATTGAGAATCTCACTCACATACAACACAATAATTCGATCAACCATTAATCCTAACTTATGTTACCTCAACAATTGAACCAAGATGATAAGGAAAAGGGTATAAGGGAACCGAGCTCTCCAAAGAACTCTCCACGGTACTATGATAGGTTCAAGTTTTAAGAACCTGAATCAAAACATATAAGCACAGGTTAAGGATCTCAGGGGAAGAATCATCTAATCAAGAAAAGATTCAAAGAGAAAAAGAATTTACAAACCCAGAGCACCTCTCTCTAAAACTTTTCTCTAGAAGTTATAGAAATAAGTTTATGAGACTCAATTCTCAACAAAATTCTTATATATCACCTTCCCTCAAGGTTAGTTGAATCTTTAACTAGAGATTCTCACAACTTACACAACTTATTCTAAATACAGTGTTACAATTTAATGTTATATAGAAACAAAAATAGTATTTAATTTTAATTTTATTATATAATATTTAAATTTAAAAGTAACATGATGACACGTGGATTTAATTTTGTTAAAGTGAGAAAAGGTATTTTAGAAGATAAAATGTACATTATTAAAATTTAATAATTAATGTTGTACTCAATTTTAAAAAAACTAATTTATATATTGATAATCTAACTTACTATAACATTATCTTTCGGTCACAAACTATTTATAATTATTAGAGTTTATTTAGTGATAAAAGTTAGATAGTATGTAAATATTTTTTAAACTTTGATGATGATATTGAAATTTTAAACAAATCACAAATTACCTTATATAATAAATATGTTATTTTTATAATAATTTTTTTAAATCATTGTTTTCATAATTTTTTAATAGATTATATCGTAAATCTCTTTACGGGTGTTTAGAAATCAAAGTCTACAATAGATTATAAAATTAAAATCCTAAGCATTAATTTTCTAATTAATAACTATTAGTAATATTATAATACTCTGTCTTATAAAATACATTATCACGTTTCAGAAAAACCAGATCCGAAATGGTAATTACATACTATGTCCTATCATATGTTAATGTTATATTCTAATTAAGAAACACAATTAAATAAAATACGACATATAATAATGTAATGTAAGAAGATGGAAGATTTGAACACGTCTTCTGGGATCCCACTGGACCCAATTCAACGTCTCAACTCATAATAGTTTCCTAAGTCCTAACCCATCCGAAAAGACAAGAAGACCATAGGCCAACCTTTTCTCCCAGACAGCACATAAATTAAACGTTACAACCCTATGCACGTCACATCCTCTTTTTTGGTACTATAATAATACCAATCATGTGGCTTACATACTTTCTAGGCAATTCCCACTCCTCCAAGTTGTGTCCTTAAAGCACCCAACTTCTCTTTCATCCATGGCTCTCTTGAACCTCCCAATCTGAGGTTTTAGAAGCTCAGCATAGCACAAAACTGAGTTTGTGATCATGGGTATGAATAAGCCTCACCATGTGCTTATCCTGATCATCATAGTGGTGGTCTCAATTGCAGAGAAACCATCACTTACAGAAGGAAGAACACTTTCCTTAATGTCTGGTCAAGGTAATTAGTGTATAGAAATCAGAATTTTTCTCACTTGTTTATTCTTGCTATATATTTGCAGTCTGCTGTGTGTTATTTAATTTTCATACTATAGCATATATTATAAAGATTTTTATATTATGAATTAATTAGAAGTCATTTAATATATTATTGATGAAGAATTCACTTTGACTAAATAATCATAATAATAATGTATATATACAGAGAGTAATCTTTATGTTATAAACTAGTTTTGTAAAATTTGAGGTAAGCTTATATTTTAGAATAATTGTTGTAGAAGTTAATAAATACTAACTGTTTGACAAACTGTAATTAGATGAATACATTCTAATTGATTTTTTTTCTAATTATTTTTCTAACTATGTTTGTTGTTTGATGTATGTGATGTAGTTGCAGGGTACTCAAAGATTTTTGCAACGCTTGGAGTTGTTTGCAAGTGTTGTGATGGTGTTGGAGGAGCCTGCACTAGTACATGGACGAAATCTTGCAATAATCTGCAGTGTTTTCCTTGGAAATCACACTAGTTAATTATTTTTCCTGTATCTTTTCTTGTCTTGCATTTGCTGTATATTTAGTTCAGAAATATCATATAAAATTGAATAGTTGAAGTCTGCGTTCTGTTCTGAGTAGTGTGAACAGTTTGACTTGGTGAAAAACTGAGAAGTATCCATGGTTCTTAATTTGGAACAAATCAATAACAATAATATGTGGAAGTATTAATGATCATCGCATATCCGTTGTAGTTTGTGCTCTAAAATTGGATTCAAAATAAGCAGGTGAAGGGTTGTTATCAGTTTTAATTGATGATAAGGGAAAGTGACGACTCTTCAAATGTGGTTGACTAAGACTTTAGAAAGATAAGGGAAGGAGGGCTTTCACTGAGTGATGAGTATTATTTTACTATCTTGATATGACACGTGAAAATAATTGTCGGGAGAAAACAAAATGGTATTTCAATTTAGTAAAATGAAATCAGAAGATTTTATGTTTATTCTTCATGTCATCGTGTTATCTTTGATTTGGATATTTTGCAAATTACTAAACACAAGAGATATATTAAAAATAAAATAAATAAAAAGTATATAAGTGAAAAATAATTTTTATTTTATAAATTGATTTTATATGATTTAATTAAATTCATAATTCACATTTTAATATAGTTATTTTTTAGTTGTTATTGGTACCAAATAAAGTTAATGTCTAATTTTTGACAAAAATTTAATTGGCTAATTTTAGTAAAGTTTCTTCTTTCGATCAAGTTATAAACTTAAAATTTTGTTTTACGGGCTAAGTCTAGTTTTATTTAGGTCTTCTTAAAAAATATTTATTCCTCTAGTAGTCAAAGGAGTGTTACGAAAGTGTTGTGAGTATTTCTCGTATGTATTCAACAAATAATATTTGCAAATTATTGTCTCATCATTGTTATTTTAAATTTTTAGTATTTTTTATCTAATTCAATCTTCATATTATTTTAATTATATAATTTTTTTATTTATCCATTAATTTGATATATATATATATATATACATATAATATTTAATAAAAACATTGATATATTGGTATAATGTGTCGTATCAATATGAATGTATTGATACAATAATGCAACATAGTGTAACATTTTTGTTAAACAATAGATGTTAATGGTTAAAATTGAAAATTTTAAAATTTTAATAAATTAAATTTGCACAAAAAAATTAGGCAAAGGAAAAAATTGCACTTCTTTCAAAATGATATTAAACACTATTCAAAGATATTGTGCAATGGGAGATTATGTTTCTAGACACAAAATTGAACTTCTTAAATATGAGAGGCTAAAGTTGGCGGTTGTGACTTATCTAGTTTGAGCTAGAGGTCAGAGGTCAAGACATGTTTGGTTCGAGCTCAAGGTTGGTGGTTAACACACATTTAATTTAAGGCCAAGATTGAATTTCCAGACACATTTCGTTTGAGCTTAAGGTTGAAGGTTGAGACGCTTGGTTCCTTCCATGTGTGCCTAGAGTCATCCTCCAAATCCAACATGTAAAAACACTCTAGTTTCCGATCTAGGTCTATCAAGCCAACATTGACCTACTAGATAAGGTGATTAAGAAACTAATCTTCTAATACCACTTTGTTGTGTTAAGAAAATCATATTACACATTTCCTAACAATATACATATAAACAAAATACATTGTTGCCCATACTCTCTATCAAATTAAGTTAACAACTATGGCATGAGATTTAACTAGTTAAATGAGTAATTTATTAATCTATCTTTAACGCACCTAAATTCTTATGCAAAAAGATTAAGTTAATGAGTCTCGACTACCAACATTATCTTTATATTCAAAAATGCCTATAAGTTTATCTACTACTAAAATTTATAATTTATCAACCACTCATTATTCTCACATTATTATATCTAATGAAGTATTATGTTATATGGATAGCAATTTGGCTACCTTTAGGTAGAGCTCTCAAAGTAGATTTCGGCCCGTGGACCAACTTGGCTCACCTTAAAAGTATTAAAAAATGAATGATAAACGTGTATATAATTGATAAAATATGAATTGATTTATATTTGTTCTCTCACTTTAACTAATGACATTATTCTAGAAGAGATGAATGATTTTTTAAAATTAGAGAAAAAGTTAAGTGATTTTTAAAATTTAAAAAAAAATATGTATCATTTAAACAAACATGAGAAAGATGAGTGCAATTTTCTTAAAAAGAAAAACTCATAAGTCAAGTTTGAATTATACATGTATGGATTTTTAGGCCCATTAATTCTCAGTTAAATAAGGTCCACTAATGGATCAAAGATACGGTCCACTAACCTTAAAGTCTGAAATCCAACTTCCATTGCAAGATCCTACTCGAGATCCATGTTTACTATTAAAGCACGCCATGTGTGTCCTCAATGATTCAATCCATCTTCATAGTTTTACGTCCTTTAAGTTTCTTTGGTATTGACCTCTTTTAGATAATGAAAAAGACAAAATATACCTCCCATGTATGATCTCATTATGAAAAAAAAATATAAAAATTCACGTAAAATGAAAGTGTTTCCATTCATTTACACAAACCCACCACCTTCCCTCTGGCTAGTACATAGTTCAATTCTAATCATTAGATCATAGACACGAGGAATGAAACGTGTTAAACTCCTTAGTAGGAAGAAGTGGAACATGGGCAAATGCACGTATAACAAGGGTCGACCCTTAGTAGTGAGTGATGATTGTATTAGTGTTTGAAAGATTCATCCTTTATTGTGGACCGTTCTTATGCCATCTACCCTTTTATTTTGTCACCATTTGCAATTGATGTCAATGCATTATTATTAACCTTACTTACCCACCTTACCTGTGCACTTTAATTAATCAACCATATCAACTACTATCACTCTTTTTAGGATTTCGTTTATTAAAATACGAGTACCTCATTTCTCAAAGTTATCTTGTGTACATTGTACTTGGTACCCAATTTGCTTCTATACACCAATTGGTCCCATACATAGTGATTATCTCACATTTAAATATATCTCAACTTGTGTGTCCATTACATGATCTTAAACCCTCTTTATCCAAAATTCAAAGGAAAAAAATTCTTATCCAAAACTTGTGTTCCATGCCTCTATTAGAGAATATGATATGACACTATTTTTTTTTTCCAAAACATTTAAAGTGTGTTTGGAACAATCGTAAAAATTAGAATGTTTTAATAATTAGTTACATGTATAATAAATTATAATTAAAATAAATTTCTGTTTAGGTAATTTTTTTGAAAAATATTTAAAATATTTAATTTTGTTTGGATACAGTAGCAAAAAAAATATTCTAATTTTATATAATAAATCAACTTTGAGAGGAATAAAAGTTTTTGAAAATACTACAAGTCCATGAAAAATTTATTCTTTAGGGAAAAAAAAAACCATTTTTTTTACAACTTTCAGTTTATATCTCAAATATACAACTCATTTTGTAAGTATATATATTTTTTTTCTAAAGTAGGTAAAATCTAAAGAAAATTTTTTCCCCTAAACATGCTTTGTTGCTCTTATAAACCTTATTGCATCTTGTTAACAAATGATTTTGAAAGACATATCCACCCGTATAAGTGATGAACAACTGTTTGTGCAAACAAAAAGATGGTTTGATTCTCATGAAGGTTCGGATGATTAGTATAGAAAAAGAAAGAAATTTCACCACAAAAAGGAAGAAAAACATCTCATTTACCTTTCCTCATGCTAACATTCTAAATAATTGGGCTCATATAAATGTGTACCAATATTTATAATTGTACTATAACATTTAATAAAAAAAATATAAAATATTGATCTAAATTCAATCTTATCATTAATTCGTTTATATTTATTAGCGCGCCTTTTTAAAATTTTAAATTTATATTCATCAGTTTTGTGAATTTAATTCGTTTAATGATTCAAAGACTTTCATTTTTCAGAGATGGTAATGGGCGAGTGGGTGTGTTTTAATATTTTCATTTCTGTTTTTATCTTGATACCTTATACTCATCTTTCATTTTTATACTCAATGATTATAAAATTTGTGTATTATTTTTATTTTTATTGTGTATCGAGTACACTCGTATGTATTTTGTATTAATTTAAAAATTAATTAAATATTTTTTTTACAAAAAATATATAAAAAAACAAAAATTTTAACATAAAATAAAAATTATAAAATTATATTAATTAAATTTTATTTAATATAAATTTAAAATAGAGTAAAAATTACATAAATTTTAAATAAATTCTAATAAAAAATAAATTAAATTTTTAAAAATTTAAAAACGGGATTGGATTATAGTACAAAGAAAATAAGTATATACATATTTAGTAAAATGAATATTATGTGTACCTATATGTTCAATCAATTTAATTAAAATATTATCCATAAATACAAAATTATTTCTCATCCCTACCCTTCTCCAATTACCACTTTATTCTCCTTTTCCTATGGTATGATTTAACAGCACAACTACAATTAGGGATGACAAATATACCCGTACCCGCGGGTAATACCTGAACCAGTCCCGACTTTGACGGGGAATACCTGGTTTGATCGGGTACGGGTACGGGTACAGGTAAAATCCGATACTTTAAATCGGGTACGGATACGGGTACGGGTATGTACTTACCCGCCCCGTACTCGTCCTCGTTTACATTTTTAATTTAGTACCCACTTTCAATTTAATTATATTAAGGAATTTTAATATTTTTTTATGTGTGATTATTTATTATAAAATAATATAGAAAAATAACTTAATTATAATTATAATATATAATAAAAAATAATTTAAAAATATCATATTTTTTATAAAATAAAAAATAAAAAAATTGACGGGTACGAGTACGGTATACCCGATACCTGACGGAGATAGAGATGAAGATGAAAATTACATACTCGACGAGTATGAGTACGGGGACAGAGATGAATTTAACTCGCGAGGACGGAAACGGGTATCATGAAACCCGTACCCGACCCGCCCTTGCCATCCCTAACCACAATCTATACTATTTTAAGGTAGTATCTAAGAGGGAGCAAAGAAGGCTCACCCAATTTGGATCTAACAAGATAAAAAAATATGATGAATTTCACATAACATATGTTAGATTAGGTGAGGTTTCCCTCAACTCTTTTGTACGTCCTTCCCAAAATGTATGCCTATTCAATAAATCCAAAAGGTGCCAATAAATCCCTCCCTATAAAACAAAAGTCAAAAATGGACTTATATAATTATTTTGAAAATCAGACCCGATTACATACAAAATAAAAAAGAAATATATAATGTTTTATTTTAGCATCATCATATCTTCATTATTCACTCTTTTATTATAAATGATTCCTTTTAGTTTTTGAAAATGACATTTTTTCTTACTTAATCAAATATTTTCATTTTATGACGTGTATACTTAATCATAATTAACATTTTCAATTGAGTTTTAGCACACTATTTTAGGATATAAATTAATATTTTTAATTAAATTTTGCTTAATTCTATTATAGTAATATTTCAAAATTATAAAATTTAAACTACTCAATCCTTATTGATTAACCCAGACTTTGAAATATGGATTTCAATAACTAACCATGTCACTAACCAGATCTAACATGATTCTAATTTAATTTTTTTAAAGCATTTTGATAGGCGATTTGCCCGTTGATACTTGTAAAGAGTATGTTACGATAATTTCTACACATATGAAGAAATTAATTGATTATTAATTAAAACATCCTTAATACAGGAGAAAAAAAAAAAAAAAAAACCGTTCCTCATAAAACATGGAACAAAAGGGTAGGGTTGTTATTATCCACTAGGCAGAGTAAAAGGTTGGGATTTTGTTTATAGGCTCCACCTGGTGGACCCCACCTGTCCACGTGGCAGTAATCTGTTTAACCTCTTGACACTGCGAAGGTCTAGAAGGCGATCAAACAGAGAGAGTGACACTAAGCTCTGTTCACTATGAATTTCTGACGAGAGAAAAGAAAGAAAATCACAAAAATTACACTAAAGTCTGAAAATTTTCACTACTTTTCCGCCTTATAAATAAATGGGTGTGAGCAAAGGTTTCATTTGAGACATTTTTTTCTCTCTCTTTTGCCACCACCGTACCTTTTCACGTGTCCCTCTCTTTCCTTGTTCTGTTCTGTTCGCTCTGTTTGTTTCCTAGGAAAAGAAAAAACCTCAATTTGGTTCCTTTATTTTTTTCTCCCTTGTTCTTATATTAAGGTTGTTATTGGGAGGTGTTCGGTGTTTGTTTGTTAAATTTTCACCTTGTTTGAAGGGGTGAGGCAGAGATTGTTGACAACACAAAAGTTAAAGGGTGGTGGTTGCAGAAAAATGGAAGGAAGGAAGGAAATGAGTTCTTCTTTCACTTCTGAGCTCTTTGGGTCCAACCAGTCCCAGAAATCTTCTGCTTCTGGAATTTTTGAATCTATGTTTTCTCCACCGTCTAAGGTGTGATGCTTGTTTGGTTTGATTTTTTCTAGTTATATTCAATTCAGTCAGTGTTTTTAAGCATTTAACTTTTGACATGAAGGTTTCTGCTATGTTTTTTTTTATGTTTGATGCGTCATTCATCAAATTGCTTTGAATCATTGAAAGTTTTAGTCCAATTTCAGTGTTTCAGTGGTGTACAAAAGAAACAAACAATGAGCATGTTCATCATATTACTGTTTTATCATTGTCATCATGATCATCATCAGTTTGTGATGATTTAGGTGTTAGGGAGAGAGTCTCTGCGTTCTGAAGTGAGTGACAAAACTACCAGTGATGGTTGGAGCTCCAAAGTTGGTACTTACGGTTAGTATACTCTGTTTTAGACAGTCCCCTTATAAATTTTGGTAAGTTTCTATACTTTTTTTTGGCAACTGGTTAAAATATAATATTCAAAAAATCACGTAGTAGGACATTTCCTATTGGCTCTAGTTTCCTTGTTCACATTTTCCCTTTATTATGTCTCCGTTATATGTATATTGCATCCTTGATTTAATTTACCAAAATTACTATACATTCCAAAGTTCTGAGGGCCAGTTATTACTTTATATTGAAATTAATGTAGATAATTTGTTTCAAGTAAAATTTAGGATGTTAAGATCAAATAGTATTGCTTTTCAAATTTTATTTGCTATCAATACAGATTACTACAAGGGAAGTGATGGTGAAACTCAGAGCACAGAACATAAAGATATGAGTTCTATCTATCAGGAACAAAGAGTTCAGCCATGTCACCTTAGCTCATCAATCTATTATGGTGGCCAGGACATATATTCTCGTCCCAAGAGTACACAAGATTCGGGATTAAACTCTTTGGTGATTACATTTATTATTGTTTATAATTATACTTTAGTAGATGTGGGTTTGAAAACATTCAGGGGGCTGATTTATACTATAATCCACTAATCCTTGCTAACTCAAATCAAATGTAAATATTTTTCAATGGAAAGATAAGTTAATTAATAGAAATCTGCAGAGACTAAATATTAAAGATAGACAATTATGTTAAACTGATTCCTGTATAGAGCTCAAGACAGATTACGATATGCAACCAAGAATATTAGTCATTATTTGGGTTTATTGTATTCTATTTGGTTGATACATTTTCATATTATTAGGAACACCTAACCTGATTTTTTCATTTAGCAGTACAAGAAAGATGGGGTTGAAGATGATTCAGGAAGTGCTTCAAGAGGAAACTGGTGGCAAGGTAACACATGTACCTGTCTAATTTTCAGTATAAATTTCGCAATTGATGTCTACTGGTCTAGTTTCCTGTCACAAGTTTCTCATTCATTTTCTGCCTTGTAACTATTTTTCCACAGGATCTCTCTATTATTAAGATCACACTTGTCAAGGGATGTGCTTAAGGTATATAGTTTCTGTAGCCTTAGCCAAATGGTACTCTACACATCTGATTATTTTCCTTCCCTAAACTCTTAGACATAGTTTATTTGAAATCAAAGGAGCATTGAACAATAAACAAGGATTGTGAAGGGTTTGAAAATAATCAGAAACTAGAAGAACAAACATGAAATTACCTCCTCCTACTCTCTGATCAAGCAGAGAGAAAATAAAGGAAAATGTGAAGACAATTACTTCCATAGGCGATAACTGTCATGAATGACACTTTAATTGTGTGATTTAGGAATAGATTTAGTGTTTTCTTGGTATAGAGTGTATTTCATGCAACTCCAGTGAGCTTTTAATGTTCCATTGTGATTTAGCCATTTAGGCATACGATAGATTTATAGATTAGATTGTGCTAGTTCTTTTTTAATTTTGGTGCTCGACACTCACTGTTATAATCATGAATTTTAAGAAATCTTGAGTGAAAGTTGTAAATAGGAAGGCTACCGTCTTCCACAATTGCACAACAATATAGAATATCATAAGGAAAAATATTGGAAGGAACAAGAATACAAGTACATAAGGAAAAAATATCAGAAGGAGCAGGATTACAAGGACCCTATCCATTTCGAATATGTACATGTAATTACATGAACATTTGACCATGTTTCTAGACTGATAATCATATTTTTCTGTTTTGCATGTTACATCTTTTGATTTTATTATTCGTTGTCTATCAATAACATGCATTTCTGCAGGTAAAGTAGAAGGATAGTTTAGTAGAATAGTCCATCTTTTGCTGAATGTACGAGTTATACTATAGTGAGAACGTGGTGGATGGCTTGTTGCTTTCTCCAGCCAAACAACAGAATCACAATATGAAGCAGTAGTAGTCATACGCATTTCATTCCATTTACATGTAAAGAGTATCGTACTTAGCAGTGGGGTAATGTAAAAGTTGTGTGGTATAGGAACCTCATGTGTCATCAGCTACTCTCATGTGGTTGAAGCTTTCAAGATTTTACTTTAATGGGAGAAACACTGTTTTACTGGTTTCCCCTTTACTTTGAATTTCAGATATGATGAGTGATAAGAGATAATCTATGAATATGTACATGTATCATCAGCATGCTCTTATGAGGCTGAACTGTAGTACTAATTTACTTTATGATTGAAGTGAAGTCCCCTTTACTGCTTACACTTGTATTTTTTATATTGATTTTATCGTCTTTTTCTGACTAAGAACCTTAGCTTGGGTTGTGATCCTTGCTGGTAGCATCTTCTGATTCTTTTGCATCAATTTTTTCCTCCCTTCTAAAATGTCACATTTCATGATAGATAGAGGAATTATGAGGGCATATTTGAGTTTTATCAGCCAGTGTAAAGAGAAGAAGAAAGTGCATTTTAGAGCTAGAGGATAAGAAAATCAACAGATAAAATTGTAGTAATAACCTTTTATCAAAATATCAACAATTAAGATTTTATCACAGTTTTTAATCCTTGATATTCCCTTTAAGGATTAGAAAATCAGTAAAGTGCATTGTTTTTCACTGTCAAATTCATAACGGAAAGTATAAAAACTTACTACAGTTGGAGTTTTCATTCATTCATGCAGGCAATAAATTGGAACAGTCTGATGATGATTGAACGATTCATCTTGACAAATCAGACTTAAAACACGCATATGAAATTTGAATCATTCGATCTATGTTCAATGGTTTTGATTTGTTGACTGCGTGAAAAATCTAATTGGACCGAATCTGGTTTTAGTAAAGACTAGATACTTGAAACAAATAATTGGTGCATTTTAGTTAATTAACTCCTCCATATGTGTTTTTTTTTATTATATGTAAAGGGCCATATTAATTGGACCATGATGGACAAGTATATCACCCTCAATTTTGAAACTTGAAAATTCACTGACCAAACCATCCCACTAGTCCAAGAAATATGCATCTGCATTTCCTTTTTTCGCATGATCAAGTCATGCCAATACAGGCTCTTCAGTTCATGCCCCCGTGATAGATTCTCAAATCTCAAGTCATTGTTGGTGCACATTGATGGGTGTAGATGTTGCAGTACTTGCGAAAAGAATCGAAAACCATAGTTATTTGTACTCCATTAAGGGCAACAAATCGCCACGCACTGCTACAAGTTAAAACACCCCTCGAAGGTGGGGCATGGTCCACTAGCACTCCACATAGCAAGCACATTCATGCAGTAACATGAAGCAGCAGTTGGTTAACGAACGTGTCCCCTCTACTTCTCATCCTGCAGCTTCCAAAATGTTAATTCCGAGTCTAGGTTATGTGTTCTGTCCAAAACATGACTCATCGTCTATCTTTGTCCATTCATGGTGGGACAAGACCTCTAGCAGTTGTTGTGACTGTTTTTGTTTTCTTTTTCTTCATGCGGATAATAGATCTTTATGTGAAAATTGTGTCTATCTTTTATTTTGAAACCAAAAAATTAATTACGTAATGGGGAATGTTTACTAATCCAAGTTTCATACTCGAAGATAACTTTTCTGTAAAACTTAAATTATACAAACAATCTCTTCAATTGTAAAATGTATAAACAAGTGGAATATAATATGAGATAGTTTCTCTCTTTGCTCTGTCTCTATACATCCCAACTAATGCATAGGAAACCAAGACACAAGCAACACGTCATAACCAGAATATTTTGCAGTTGCAGAGTTCACTATCAAAACCCAAACAATCTGTCAAGAATATTAACAAGAGATAATGACCATATAAACTGAAATAAACACTGATATTTCAAAGAAGATAAAAACTGTATAATTGTAATTGAAAAATACAAGAAATATACCTTTGGTTCACAGCGACAAATGCCTATCCAAATTCTAGAGTGGGCACAACAAAATGAATAGGCGTTGGTGGTTCACAAAGACATATTCCCTATGTCACAATGTTGACAATAAAACCAAAATAACACTGACTTGAAATGCCTAAAACTCGAGACCTGCAAGCAAAAATGGAATAAAATAAAATCGTTTTTTTTTTAATTTCATTTTATCATTTAATTTTTATAGTTTAAAATAGACATTTTCAATTTCTATATTTTTATTTTTCAATAAGATAATTTTTTTAATCCTATACTTATTTTTTTAATTTTTTTAATCTTTATTATTATTATTACTTTTTTTCTGTCACTCATTGTTAAAATGCCTTTCTTTTAAGCTTACAAAAGAATTCACTTGTCATCCGTTCACCATCACTCCAAAAAATAAATTAAGAAAAATTCTTTATAAATTTTCCTTTGTTATTTAATATTTTAGGAACTGTTTATATTATTTTATCGGTTTAAAAACTATTTAGGAAAGAAATGAAAAATTAAATTAGTGATTTATTCGATAATTTAGTTTCAAGGTTTTTTCTTAAAAAAAAAAAAAAAAACTGAAGTAGCGCAAGGCTTGTGAGGAAACGACAGAGACACAGAAGACTAAACCCAGTCTGAACCCTATTGTCCCCGCGAAGAAGAGAGTGTTGGAAAATGGTGGTGAGGATTCGGCTTTCCCGGTTCGGGTGTAAGAACAAACCCTTCTATCGAGTCATGGCTGCTGATAGCAGATCCCCCAGAGATGGCAAGCACCTCGAAGTTCTCGGTTACTACAATCCCTTACCAGGTTCTCACTATTCCCAAACATCATCATTATTTACGTACACCCACGCTTCTAATCGATTACTCTTGTTTCCTCACAGGTCAAGACGCTGGCAAGAGAATGGGTCTCAACTTCGAAAGAGTCAAGTAACTCGCTCTTTCTTTCCATCTCAACTTTATAATCAGTTATATCATTTTAATTAATTTAGTTCTTTCCACAAGGACCAAGTACAAATGTTTCTAGTCGGGTGATTATCCTGTTTATCTATCTGTTTAAAAATTAATCTCTAAGTGTTGGAGATCCTACTTCGACCAGTAAGATTACTAACATGGTGTATATAAATAAAGGATAATTTTCACTGGTTTTATAAGAAGGAGTTAGAATCTAACTACACTTTTTCACTTTTTAAAGATAATATCAGAGTCTATCTTAATAATGTCACTCACTATTGGACTCATCAACTACAAATGTTTAGTCCTACAAATTATACGCTTAAGATGTTAAGTCTCTGGCATTAGTAATGTGTATTGGATATTTCACGTTGACTAATTAGATAACTAATATAGTGTATAGATGTAGAGAGTAATTTTAACCTTACAATTTAATTTTGTAAACTTGAGTTAGGTTTTATACCAATTTCTTAATACTGGTGTTTTCTTTGTGGACAAAAATGAGGGACCTGTTGTCATCTGTTTTTTTTTTTTCTGATAGTGTTGGTTTCTCTTTTCTTGTCCAGGTATTGGCTTTCTGTTGGAGCTCAGCCTTCGGAACCGGTGGAGCGGCTTCTATTCCGAGCTGGGGTACTGCCACCGCCACCGATGGTGGCAATGGGGCGGAAAGGTGGACCACGCGATACTCGGCCTGTTGATGCTCTAACTGGACGTGTCCTGAATCAAGATAAACCAGCTAATGCTAATAACAATGGGCTTCAACATGACACTCCTGAAAACTCCTAGAGTCTCTTTTTAGGATATTTTTTGTCCCTTTTTCGTTGATGGTTTTATTGGAGATATATTTATAGTATCTATTTTCCTGATTAACTTTACTGATCAACTGAATAAAATAAGAGCACGTTTAGATTCATGTCATTTTTAGTTGGACGTGGATTAGTGGAAGCAACAATTAGTTGCTTTTGTACCAATTTTGATGTGATTCTTATTCAAACGTGGATCTTGGATGTGGAACCAAACATGCACCAAGTACTGTTTTCTTGGGGGATTTGAGTTCTTTTGCGAGGATAGAGCATGACTGGTTAAATTTTTAGGCTGCTAAATATTCTGTATTATAGAATTGATTGAACTCGAAGTATCTTGCTCTTGAATTTCCTGTTACTTTTGTTTTGTGGAACTTTGAAAGTTGCTAGGGATATAGCAAAGTAGTTCATTTCTTTTGGAGTTTTTCCTCTGTTCTTGCTCTGTAACTAAATGCATTTGCCGTGTTTTTGTACTCTAGTTGATTTCTTTGTTCCTGCAGATGCAACTTGAAATGTTATCCATTTATCCTGCTCTGCATGCATTTCTTGAAACTATGTTAAACTATTATTTGATCAAGGCTTTTATCGTGCTAACTCAGTGTTCTAGTTGTTATTTGGTAACAAAGGAGGCAATTATCTGAATTTTGGATCTGAAATAATATCTCAGTTGTCATTCAATTGTTTCATAATAATGAATTGAGTCACTCAGTTCTATACTTTTTAGCATATGTTGAGGAACTCTAATCTGCCATTGCTACCTCATTTTGGGTATTTATGCAATGTTGTATTTGCTTATTCTCGGAATAATACTATTGTTACCACCTGAACATTTCCCTACATCTTTTGGGATTGATTAATGTTTCAATATTCAGTTTTTCAGTATTGTATGTGCTGATATTTAGTGTATGATTAAATGTTGATTGTTAGGGTTTTTCAATGAAGGATTATGCAAACAGATTTCCAGTTTTGCATTGCTCATGAATTAAATTTAGAAACTTCAGTTATTGTGTGCATTACTGAGGTTGATCAACAACTTAGTGTGCTACTACCAATTTAATTGTGATAAATGATGACATTTATTATTGAGAATTCTGTAATTTGGTTGTCTAGGAATTCATGTATTATTTTCTTGTTCTTTGAAGACTTAAAAATTTGAATGCATATTAGACTTTCAATTCATGTCATGCCTTATTTATTTATTTTGGTAAAAGAGTGAAATATGGTTGTTTAAATTCTTTTAAGATAGTATTCGATCTCATTGCCTCCTCCCTTTTAATATCCTCCCTTTTAATATATATTTTCCTCGTGTGACAAAGTTTTAACCTTTGCTGATGAAGGTCTGCCATTAATAGTGATAGTAGTTGTTATAGGTACTATGAGTTGGTCTGTTGAGAATGGCTCATAGTCAATCTTAAGAATTAGTATTTGTCGAGCATTGTTTTGATTCTTAGGTTAATGCACTACTGGTTTTACTTTTCTGAATAATTTCTTGGGCCGTGGTATTGATTTGGATTCTTGGGTAACCTTGTGTGAACTGATTTTAATGTAGTGATTTAAAATTTTAAAGTCATAAAGAAATTTCATTTTTCCATGCATGTTGGCACTAGAATTTAGTATAAGGTGATATTGTTTTGGTTTATGAACTAGGATGAGTAAGTTTTGTTGTAAATTATATAAGGAAAATATGGGATATGTTGCCACCAACTTGCCCCAGTTATACAGTTTGGTTTGCTCTAGCCACCAAGTTGTTCTATACTCAAATGAGGTTTAAAGAAAATAAATCGATGCTGTTGGTAGGGACTTGGATTTTTCCAGTGAGAGCTTCAATAGATGATTCTACTACTTCCTTTCCCTTGTTTTTCAGACCTCATGTATTCTTAGTTTCTCCATTTTATTATCATTTTTTACTTGTAGCCTGTAGGCAAAGATCAAAGAGAATTTGGTTTCACTACTTGCCAAATTCTCCACTTTGTTTCCATTTTTTGACTTGTAGCTGAGAACGATAAAAGGAAAAAAAAAATTGCAGTAAGTTACGAAAGAATACTCGTCTGGTGATGTTTAGCGGGAAATAAGGGCTTGTTTGTTTCAGTTTTTTTTTCCTTCATAGAAGAATCAATTTTTTAAAAGCTTTTTTATGCATTTGTTTCAGCTTTTCCAAAATAATTAGAAACTGAATTAATATCTGATTAAAATTAGAAGCTATTTTGAATAGTTTCTCATAATATAGTCAGTCTTTTTTGAAAATTATGTTTGTATTATTTTTAATAAATAAAATATAATTTTGGTCTCCTAAACTTGGTAACCTTTCTTTTTATATGTATTAAATTGTAATATATGGCTTGTTTAATTTCTGGGAGAGAAGGATACAAAATTTTCCCATGATATAATCATATTAGTTCTTGACTAGGATACCACATTACCACTACTAACATGTAAGATCAATTCACGGTATAACTAATACATCTTGTTGTGGCATTGAAATTTCAATATTAAAATATCTCCACAAACTTGTGACAAATTAGGTCATGACGTCGTGTATATAACTGATAATCAAGTCTTATCTTATTGAATTAGGTTTAAATTTATTTTTTTAATATAATATTAGAGTTTATTATTATTTGATATTGAACTTATTAAGTTATTTTTTATTAGATCATTAACAAATCATTTATAAATGTTTATTTTTATAAATTTTATGTTTGAAATATTTAGTTTTTGATGTGAATGAGATATGTTAAAATTTTTATATTAATTAATAATATGATCATAATAGTACATATAGGTTCAAATTTACTTTCTTAATAGTGAAAACAATATTTATCGGTAATAAAAAAATTATATTTGTTCTTGAAAGCCACCAAGTTATGTTATATATGTTAATCTTCAGGCACGGGATCTTTAAGAGAAACTAATATGATTAATATTCCTGGAAAAAAAAATTAAACCACACCTTAATACTTGTGTGCTATAGCTATAAAAAATTTCACATATAAAATAACTAATCTTCGACAATCACAATCTGTTATTATTTGTGTTGGTTAGTGTTATTATATTTATCTATGATTCATTATAGCAAGCTTTAGTAACAGTGATTGAAGGATAATGTAAAAAAAAATTAAAAAAGTATCAGTGGGCCCATAAAACACCGAAAGAACATGTTTTATTCATACACTAGGGAGCTTCCAGCTCTTATTCACTAAAAAGTTACAACAAACATGTAGTCACAACAGTTTGTAGTAGCTAACAGCCATAGTGCATTTACGTTTCCGGCAACAACTTTAACTCCTTCAAGGTAGAGTGTAAGCTGCAAAATTTACCATTTTATATGAGAATGAGAATTAGCATATATACCAAAAACAAATGAATTGAAGAGGAAGAATACTGGCTAGCAATATATAATATTTGAAACCCTTTGTAATGAGTTACTTACGTCCACACTTGTAACCAACAGGGCGATTAGCGAGGTTGCAACGCTTGGGAATGGTGATAGCAATTTTAGGGTCGACTCCAGACATTTTGGCAGTGTTAGAGAGCAGAACTGCACAGAGGCAGCTAGGATTCTGCCCCATTTTCTTCACCTGGGCACAGCAACTTTGAGAAACACTTGCACTCTCATCTTGTGCTGCTGAACCACAAGGTGCAAGCTTAATTGCTTCTGCATCTGGGCTTGTAGACTTGCCACATTCACCAGCACTATCAACCCTTGCAACACTCACTAGTAGCACCACTAACCCCACAACCCATACCAACTTCACACAACCCTCCATTCTCAATATTATGTCTTTATTATTATGTTATATCTCTCTCTATTTGGCAGTGCATTAGTCTCATGCATCAAGTGGGGTTTTATAGCCTCCAAAAAGTGCTTGCTCCTGCCACCACCCTCTGATTAATGGAGCCAGCACTAGGACAAATGAAGAGTTTCTTATTGCACCACTTTGGAACAAAAGCAGGTGTAAACACAGTTTTGTGCCACCTCTTGTCCAATCATGGTAGGTGTGTCTTTCACGACACAATTCTTTTTGTTTTTCTTGCTTCCAAGTGTAGCCATTACTCAGTGTGTAAATCGAGAAGGCAATGTTGTGGTGCCACCTCATTCCTCAATCAAGTGCAGAGCCAATAACCTTTTTGAAAACTTGTCACCAACTATATCCCAACTACCACCGCCCGTCAACACACTAGCTAACACTTACAATCTACGTACTAACATACCAATTATCAAACACTTATTTATTATAGCGTAAAAGTTGTATAGAATACATTCAAACTATCATCTTTGTACACTCAGAAATTAACATTTGACAAATGTTTGATGGGAATGATGGTTTTGAATTAATTGTGATTTGCCACCACGATGTTGGTCATATAGTATTGCGGTTTGAAGGTTATATGATGCATCAATACGATAGGAATATGAATCCCATACATGTTTACGACATACGTATATGATATAGTGATGCTTATTTTTTTCTTTGAAAATAAGTAGGATATATGATTTTTTTTTTCTCTCTAAATATAATTTATGTAATATCTTAACATTGACAACAAAAAATTAATCTGAATTTGTGAATTACAATTTTGTTAATTAAGTATATTTTATCACTATATGAATCAATTGTATGTCTCAAGACAAGTTTAACAACTTCTGATCAAGACTCAAAAGACTTGATTACAGGATATATGATATGTAAATGAACATAAATTTAGATAAGTTAAAAAATTTATAAAGCATAACAAATTAATAAAAGTAAGGCAAAAATTATAAAACATTATATCATACATCATTGCCTGTATAATGTCAATCACTTTCCCTTCTTTAACATCATATCTATAAAAGGATAATATTCATTAATTTCTGCTGTATGAAGAACCAGTACATGCTTCTACGTTTTTCTTACATATAGATACGTACGTATGTGTTTTATCATGCCTGATTGTATTGAATTTTCATAGATGCATAAAACAAATATAAGTACAGTGCTTCTTAATAAGTAGTACTTTTACAATTATAATTGTAATTGCATTTGTTTACAATTTTGATAATGGCAACGTTAATATATATGTAACTTTAAAATTGTGATTTGTACTAATTTCAATTAATATTACTAATTTTTCATATCAATTCTTTTAGAAAGCTCCTACTTTTATAGGATAAAAATGAAACAATTCGTAAGATATGCGATAAATTTGATAACTCGAGCAATGAAAAGCAACTAAGGGCATTTGGTCTAGTGGTATGATTCTCGCTTAGGGTGCGAGAGGTCCCGAGTTCAATTCTCGGAATGCCCCACAATTTTTAAAAACTTTTCTGTTAACCCACCACATGAATGCTTGCACTATCAATTCCACTTTCCGCTGGCACTGCGAGAAGTTTTTCTTTCTCACAATTTCCTAACCTGAAAAGATAATTCAACTACAACTTTGTAACTTTTATTAATTCTTTTTGTATCCTTTGATAGTTCAATTCATAGTGGTTTACTGAAGTTGAGTTAGTGGGAATGGACATTTAAAATACCCCTCTTAGAGACACCACATTACTACCTCAAGTAAATAACATAAAACACTATCCACTCTAATTATGTGAATCCTTCTAAATATTTCATATACATACAATGATACAAAGATCCAAAAACATTAAAAATAAAAAAAATGTGGCACTCAGCTATAAAAGATCAATAGCTTCACACATGCCATGTCCGGTCCAAGATATTTGGGCTGGCTGCACCTTCTGTGCAATCACTGGACTCTACATCTGTTTCAACTGTTGGCACTTCAAGTGTTTTTGATTCTGCAACTTGCTTCTCAATTGAACTGTCACTGTCCTTCCCTTTTGCATCAATGCTGAGAAAATCAGTCAAAGATTTCTTCACACCTGACCCTCTCTGGGGAAGGTTGCTGTCATTGATGAGTGGGGATTTCCCTCCCTTTGAAGGGCTAACCCCATGCGCCGGAGAAAGGCTTGGTGTGCCAAAAGCCGATTTGTATGGAGTGCTAGGGACAGGCACTGAGTGTGGAACTGATATACTCTTGTGAGTAACTACACCAACTTTTGAGAGAGATGAGATTTGATCTGAATGTTTGGTCAAGTCATCGACATAGAGCACATCATCTATCCGCGCAACCATGTTAAATGCCAAACTCTCTAGTACTCGAGAGTAGCTCTCTAGAATAGCTTTTCCAACATCCTAGACAACATAAAATTGGAAGGACTAAGATCAAGGTCTAAGACATTCAAGAAACAAAGGACTAGGGACTTATATGGTTCAAACTTCAAAGTGTCAAACATAGAGTCTCTTTAGGTAAACATCTTCAAAACACTTCTAAGAGAAAAAAAAAATTAGAAGAAAAAATTAAATAAACTTCTCCATAAGCTAAAATTGACTTATGCATAAGCTAATTTGTAGAGACTCTCTTATTAACTTTTTTAAAATCTTATTTTTAACTAATGTATAAGCTAATTTTAGCTTATGGAGAAGCTTATTTTGTAAAAGTGTTTCTCGATAAGTTTATCTAAACAAGTTCATAATAATAAAGGATGCAAACCTTGTTGTATTGGATTTTGCTCATATCCAAGGCTGTTTGAGGGAGGCCAGGAAAACGCTGCTTCAAGGAAAGCAAAAGGCTTTCTGCTCTCTCTGCAAACAAATCCCTTTTGTCTGCATCAACCATCAGATCCTTGACCATTTCCCATGATGTTCTTGAACTAGACCTGGCACTGACACCAGCAGGCTTGGAGTTAGTCTTTTTACGCCAAATATACATCGAAGCCTCAGCTCGGTTTGCAATCTCTATAGCTTGATGTTCAGAAGATAAATCAAGGCAAGCTAGCAAGCACTCAGGAGAAAAATGATCTGATGTGATATAACGATGAATAACATCCCCCAAGTTTACTCTAGCATTCTGCAAGAAAGTTGGATTAGCAACTTGACCATTATATCATTTGCTATCTTGATGTTTTAAAATTTTGAATAGATAGGCATCATTTATATCATACCTTGGGAAGAGACTCCAAATAGGACTCAGGAATGTCCATTTCAGCTAAAGTGATGCTGTTAATGGCCATTGCAGCTTTTAAGATTTGGTTTGTGCAATCGCGCTTGTGCTGCAACTGCTTCCTAGAGTTTTCATTGAGGCCACAAGGAGGGACACGGGGTACAGGAAGCCACCATTTCTCCTCCTGCCGCTGAAGTGCTTGTCGAAAAGAAGATGGACCATCAGCATCTGGAGCTATAACCCCTTGGTCTACATACCAGAACTCTGTATTGACAAAACTATCTAGAATTTCCTGCGAAAAGACCATAGTTTAGAATGGATTAGTTCTTAAAACTGGTGTAGTGATGCGCATTATTCAATGATGAAAAACTTACTAGGAGCATGTTATCTAATTTACGCAGAGCTGGAAGATTGACATAAAGATCCGAGCGTGGTCGACAAGTCATGACCTGTTTCACATTTCAGAACCATTGTTAACCGTCAATAAACTACTTATATGTCCCCCTATCCTAAAGCAATGCTAAACAAATACATAAGCAGAAAGCATAGAGAGAATAAAAAAAATAAAAATAAAAAATAAAACAGGTTTTTAACAGCACAAAAATCCCTCACTTTAAATGGTGATATGACATTCATAGAATCATAGTAAAATAAAGGATCAACACTAGATATATTCCAAAGATTTATGGATAGCATATGAATCAATCAAGTAAATTTCCATAATACATCTCACTCATTTCAGACATGCAGAAATGAATTAAAATATACTGCTAATTGACTTTAGCTGCATCCAATGCACTAACATGACTAACCCACAGCATAGATTCAACACATCTCAAGCACATGTATCTTCTAAAACTTATCTAGATCAAGTAACTCACTTAACCAATTCTCATCATTTTGCATGAAATCTTTCAACTTCAATTTACACGCCACACAGAATCATTTTGCGTTGAACCTGGTACCAACTAGCATTAATTACTATGAATCTTTCACAATCATATCAGAGTCTACGGTTTACATACAGCCATACCAGTGATATTACAAATAAAACAGCTTTATCTCAATTAAGAGTCATGACAAATAACAGTTGTGACAAAAAACTGTTATTTTATTTCAGATGCCAAATATGAGTTATGACAAGGCTGACAGGGAAAGGAAAAATAAGTACATCTTCCAAAGTTGGATAAGTGCACATTAAAATTAATTGCACAATTGTACCTCAAGCTTGCTTCCATCTGGAAATGTCTGCCAATTAGGTGTCAATTCAACTATATGATCACTGACAGAAAGAAACCATTCTATCTCTCTTCGCCACATTGCTTTCTTCTCTGAACGAAGGGGTTCTAATCTCCATAGTTGCCCAAAGAGGGTAGCTACAAATTAATTCAGCAAAGCAACGAGCTATCAGAATCAGGGTCAAAAATAGCACAATAAAATTCACCACAACCAACTTGCACCAATTAATAAAAAGCAAAACACAAATAAGAACACAGTAACTGCTTCAAATGTGCATTTTGCATACCACATAAATTGGTTATGGCATTTGAGATGGCCAAGGCTGTAGGGACCCCATTTCCACAACCTGACATATCTTCTCCAAGTAACAATTTTGCAAACCTCTCCTTCATCATCTCAATCTCTGCACGAGAGAATCAAAATCAAATCACAAAACTTATCGACATTGGGCCTGATAGGCTAAACTTATCCAGATACATTTCTAGGAAAAATAACAGAAAGGAAAAACGAAATATGCTTCTCAGTAAGCCTAATTTGTAGAAACTCTCTCCTATTACCTTCTTCTAAAAGTGCATTTGAAGATGTGTATCCAAACTTGCCTATTATAAGAAAGAATCAAAGATATTAAAACTCATTGAATACCTGGTAAGTGTGAAACTTGTTTCTCAAACTCCTTATTCTCCAACACCAAGTGCTTTTTCTCACCATCTTCACTTCCATGAGGACTAACACAATCTGATGCAGCAATTTCCTGAACCGGCCACCGCACCGAAGGAGGTGAAGATGAGTCATCCTCAGTGCTACTCCTACTATGTTCCTCATGTGTGGTCTCAGATGAAAGAAACTCAGAGCTGAAACTACTCTCACGACCCTTTTCTTCAATCAAATCAGCAAAAGTTTCTCTCTTACCACCATTTTCACTCCCTCTACTTTCCTCAACAACCTCACTCTTCTCAGACAAACTCAAACCCTCCATAGCAGCAGCAGCAGCTTTCCCTTCTCCAAGAAAACCAGACGAAGAAGCATAGATAACAGAAGTGTTTATCACCATGTCATGGTACTGAATCCTCCTCAAGCAAAACCCTTGTGAGAGATGAACTCTGAAACACAAACTTCTAAGAGATTTAGAGACCCAGAAGAGCAGAATGGAAAATGGGTTAGGATTATTAGCGGACCTTCTGTGCCTTACCAAAGAGGCACAATGCTTCTGTTGTTGGGTTTGTTCTCTCACTTCTTGTTGGGTGAAAGTACTATCCATACGGTGTTAGCTAAAAAACCATGTCTTGTGTCTGGTAGTGAAGAGCATAGAGAGAGAGAGAGTGTGCACAAATTGTGGGCTACCTCTGATTACTTACTTATATTTCAAGAGTGAACCTAGGCATCATTAACTCAGTTTTGTCCCAACACACATGATGTGAGATAGTACGAGACAAAAAACGGTGCTCACCTTACTTCATAGATTTTGTTTGAAGTGTTGAAAGTAGAAATAATATAATTTACAGGTTAAAATTTTCTTTTGAAATATGAAAAAATTGGTCAATACACATGTACCCTCTCATGCATGCAACATTAACAAGTTACCCAACAGTGAAATTCCTCTGTGTCTGTTTACCGATGTGACATATTTCTGAGGTACAACACACAGCTAGCTGACAAATAATAATAATAACACTCACCTTAATTTATGAAAATATTAAGCTTTGTCATATTAATTTTTACAATTATAGAATTATAAAATAAGTCTTTATTATATCAAATGAAAATTTAAATTTTATTTGTTTTCACTTTAGTCAAAAAATATATATATATTAATGTTATTATTTTTAGTAAAAAAAAGTATTTCGTATCTCTTAATTTTTTAAAAGTTAAAAAAAAATAATTTAAGAATAATTATAAGTGGGTTACTCATAAAATATGAGAATTTTTTCTAAATATAATGATTCACTAAAAGTGAAGGATAAAATTAATTATATTATCCATATTTCTTTTATAATATATATAGATAATTACATATTTTTTAAATTTTGAATTAAATGAGTTAATTTACACTTTTAAAAATCTATATGATATTTTCTTAATTTTAAGATTAATATGACAATACATTTCAAATTCATAGATCAAAGATCTATTTTTTTTTACGATGTCAAAAAAAATTGATGAAGAGAGACCATCTACTTTAATAATAATAATAATAATGGAGCTGCTATAACTATATGTATTATATGTACACATGTATGCGCTTCAAAATCTTTCCCTCCAAGATCAATTTCTGATTTAAACTTTAATTAGGTGTATGATTCGAATTTGAAATTATTCAAATTCATTTTTTTTGGTAGCCTTTATTTGGGATATCAGGGAACAATGTCATACGAGTTTGAAAAATTGAATGACTAATTGGATGATTAAATGCAAGGAATAAATTGTCGATCGTAAATAGACCATAAGGATATAGTTTTAGTTTACTCTTCTTCCATGTTTGCTAAGCTTTTACTTAAAGTATCCAAAATCAAAAGGGTATTAATTAATGTCAATGCTTTTTAAAAATGTAATAAAGAAACGTCATGGGAAATCGTGTAAGCGACGGATCTGGCTATGATGTCTACCAAATTTGTGTTTCATTATGTTCATAACTCGTTAACTAGAGTAGTCTAATACATTAATTATTGTTAAATTCTTGCTAGTTAATCTGTCATCCTGATTTTGAAATTACTGACTACTATTGCAGATTAGAGTAATGTCTTCACTTTGCAAAGCCTACGCTCCAAACTCCTTCATTCAATAAAGTCACTCAACAAATTGTGTACTGAAATCATACTTTTTTAAATGTGAATATCCTAAGAAAAATTGGATTCTCTTCAAGCACAGTTAAAAATAAAAGGAGAAGAATTTGAAATTGTTTGGCTCTTCTGGAAGGCAGTGTTAAATGGTAGCAAGAGATGGGGAAGTTTGTGTCTCCGAGTGTCTCACATGACCTGGGGAATCCAAGGATTAGAAAGTCATTTAGCAAAAGTGATATACTAAATAAATGTTTCTAATAATTTTGGGTAGTTTCAAAAAAGATTGTTAATATAGGGTTCTGGTTTTTGGAGACCCAGTTTTTACTAGACACTCATAATTAAAACAAAAACACCAAAACAACGTTCTCAAAAAAAAAAAAAATCTCTTTCCACAAGTATACTAACATGAAAAAATTGAGATAAGAAAATAATTAAAAATGAATAGAAAAAAAAATGAATACAACTATGTGTCCAAAATACAGCACCCATTAATATATATCAAACTGCCAAGAGGGTGCATTGGTAACAAAGCTTAGGGCTTTAGGGGTGTTGTGGTAGCTTGGTAATTTCAAGATATAGCTATACTATTATTTTGTATTTTTCTTCCTTTATCTATATATCGTATGTTATTTCTCCAGGGTGGAATGGAAAGTCTTTTATTTTTCTATATGCCATTGACGTTACGATACAAATGACCAATATTAGACCGTGAAATTGACATTATTAAGAAGAGAATAACTCTATGGTGTAGGAACCCAATAGGTCCAATACTTTGTTGTGCTTCTAAAGAATATTAAAAGAAAAATCAATCAAATCATGCAATGCAATGCAACACTCGAAAGGGCACACACAGAATTAAGAAAAATGTTATAAATCCAAGTGAAAAGGACATGAGTTTAAGTGGGTTGTAGTTGAGGTTAAGATATGATCCAATCAAAAGCACTTCAAATCATGATAATAATAATAATAATATCCTTCAATTACATATTTTCTTACTTTCCTTGCAAGGCTTTTCCTAGTATCAAAACTAACAAATATAATTTTCTCATGATGCCGGTTGTTCCAACAGAATTTGCACCAACGGCTAGCAACTACGTTGATGGGGACCAAACGTTTGAAAAACTTGAGAGGGAACAAGAAAACTTGAGCCACAAGAATTTTGAGTTAGCAAGCATTAAAGATAGCCTTGTTACTTTCTCTCTTTTCCCTTTGGTTGATTTTCCTTCTTTAATTTACAAGTTCTCAAAGTCGTATATATTTTGCTTATTCCTTCTTTAAATTTGAATCCGTTCAAATTCAAGTTTTGAAAGTTCTAATTTCTTGCCTATTCTGCCCAATAGCAAACTTTTGGTTCTATTAAATGTGGAGGTTGGTAAGGGCATAGACACAATGGCGTGAAAAGCATGAACAATTAAAGACGAAATAACTTTCTAGTGTTTTGAAATTTGAAAATGAAAGTAAAGGTGATATATGAAGCTCTAAAAACATCGTAATAAAATATGCCTTTTTTCCCTTCTTTATTGCATGTATGAATTCCTTAAAAACTTAAACATGTAGATGATAGGATAGGATTTTATTTTTTTCTTTTTCGGGGGCTTCTTTAATGGACTTGATATACTATTTGGTTGCAAAGGTTTCCATCGCCACAATTCTGCTGAAATCCTATTCAGCATTATTAAAGATGTTTAATGTACTTGATATTTGATTGCAAAGGTTGTCATCGCCACAATTATGCTGCTAACACGTTACTTTTTCCAACTCTATTATATAGGTTTTGTTAATTATTATTTTTGGCAGCATTGGGTTTGTTAAGTATTAAAGACGTTTTCTGTAAATTGTGTTGCTAACTCACCTGCATTTTTGTTCTGTGGCCAGGGGAGGGAATATACAATTCACGTTTTAGTTAAAGGTTAGATCATTCATGCTATGATGAAGATTTGAGAGGTTCACCAAAATGCAAGTCTCAACCTAATATGAAGAAATTGATGATGATAAAATTTATGTCAATAAGGATTTGGACGAGGGGTGAAATCGAACACTCTTCAAATGTTGTTGAGAATTATGTAAATAAAGATTTCATGAATTGTGCATAAGTATTTTTTAAAGGTAATAAAATGATTATTGAACCTACCATTAGAATTCATGTTCATCCATATTAATATAAATAATGACTTAATAAAGAGGAAAATACTTTTTAATCATATTTATTATAACATTTATTGTGTTAACTTGTTTGAGATGAAAGATTGACTTTAATTAGTATTATAATAACTTTTACAGATACACTCACTAGTAACTGATACAAGTACATTCATTTTTTCTTTTGGATAAGTATAATCGAGGACAATTATTCTAATCTAGACAAGTAAAGACAAAATTACCTATCACTTCGGATAAGTAAAGTTAAAGACAACATGTGAAAAGTAAAAGGTAGACTCAAAAGACTAAGACTTAATAATAAAATTGTCTATGTATCATTGTACGGATAAAATATCTAGGTTAAAATCCTTATTTGGTCCTTTATAATATTTTTTTGTTTCCATTTAGTCTCACTTTAATTTTTTGTTTCAATTTGGTCCCCAATAATTTAAAATTTGCAATTTGGGACTTCTGTCCAAATGATTTAAATGGAGTTAATTGTTGGTCACGTAGATGTCAGGTGGATGCCACGTATATGCATATGTAGCGGCCAAATTTCATGAATATACATGGAACCAGAACAGCCCGTTCTGCTTATACATGTTATGTGTTAATTTTGCAACTGGAACGGGCCGTTCCAAATGCAAATTTAACACACCATGAGTGCACCAGAACAGGTCGTTCTGAAACCAGAACAGGCCGTTCTGATTCAGAACGGCCCGTTCCAGAATGCCAACTTCATTTTCCAAAATGTGATTCAAAAATTGAAATTAAAAATTCATAACATATCATAAATTCAAAGACAGAAACATGGTTCAGAAACTGAAAACAAAAATTCAGAACATGACATATACTAAAAAAGTTCAAAGAAATTACTGAGAAAGGAAATCATCTGGGTAACGCTGAAGGAAAACTCTAAACCACAAAAATTTAGGTTGTACCTCCTCAAGAACGGGTTATTATATATTGTTGGGGTACATCGTCAATGACTTCAAGGAGAAACACCGTTTCGTTTCATCCTTGACTGTATAGTGTCAATTTGGAAGTAAGTGGTTCACTCTAGTTTGACTAACAATGAAATAAAACCTGCTACCATTGTCCTTAATGATACACTGCATCGTCCTTAATGATAGACTATATAGCCCAAATGTTTAACAATTGAAGTTATCAATTTCCATTGACAATATTACCAAATCTAGTGTTTGAAATATTTTGTACCTTGAGTCTTTTTCCGTGCACGATTTACAACCGTGAACTATAATTATCAACCATTCTGGAATCAGAACGGCCCGTTCTGGTTACACTATTAGTGTGTTAATTTTACATCTGGAACGACCCGTTCCAGGTACAAAATTAACACACCAACAGTACAACCAAAACGGACCATTCTGGTTCTAGGTGTATTCAAGAAATTTGGCATCATGTACGTGGCATCTACGTGGCATCC